CCGCGCAAAGTGATATCTCCAGCAAAACCCCCCCCCCCCCCCCCCCCAAACCCATTCAGAGCTGGGTTTAACTTATTATCTGGGAGAGCGAGCTAGGTTTTTGCCTTCCCCCCCTGGGGAAAAGAAGAAATAAATACAGCAGGGTTGATTTTTCGTGTTCAAACACATTTCCATCCCCAAGGCTTTTTTTTTTTTTTTTTTTCCAGGCAATTGCTTTTGCCTAGCGTTGGAAATTGCTTGTTAGGAAGGTGGGAAAGCGGAAAGAAGCCTTTCAGCCCCCCGGTCCAGGTAATGCAAAGCTCCAGCCTTCATTATCAAGATTAAAGGGGCTGGGATTTCCTAAGCAATTAAAACCCCTGCCTAATTAAGCACGGCTATTAAGCAGGACTTCCAAGGGTTGCTGCTGGGGGTAGGAGAAGGGGAATGGATCTGCAGCCTGGTTGAAAGAAAAGGAGCCCACAGGTAATTTCTTTAGTAAGGCAGAATAAATGCAGATGTACTGTACTGTGGAGATGGAGAGCATGTGCTCTGTTAAAAAGAAAAAAAAGGAGGAAAAAATAGCATTAAGGCCTCTTGCAAATAGCTAAAAGTCAACTGTCCTACTACAGCAGCAGCAAATTATCCAAACACTGAAATACCCAGTGAGGGACAAAATATTCAGGCAGGTGTTTCTGCATTTAAAAAAAAAAAGTAAAACCAAAACGTGTGGTTAAGTCAAAAAGAACGAGGGACCCTGTGGGAATCAGGGCTCTCGCAGCCACAGCAGGATCCATCCCAATGTTTAAGAAAAAGCATCCCTTGCTATTTTTGGTATGAAAAATGATATTTTTCTTTCCACCCTCTGCTTTTGAATTTCTGCTGCCTGCGCCCCCCGCCACTGGCAGCAGGTGAAAGCAGCTGCTGGGAGAGACAGTGTGTGTGCTCCTGCTTTTGTGCTCCCCATCCTATTTTATCATCCCTCCGTCCTGGCTCCCACCCGTACCAGCAACTTCTCCATCGTCCCCTCAGCCACCAGGCTCCTCTCCCTCCACTGCAAGGGAAAGGGGGCACTGGAGGCTTCATTTGCACCTTGTTTTGATTAACTTTATTTTTCACTCTTCCCTCTTTCTCCTTTTCTTAAAACACATACATAAATCCCTACATTAATTATGCTTTTAAGTCTACCCTTTGCTGAGCAGCTAAACCCCTGCCCCCCCCAGCATCACCTTGGCACTGAAAAGGCAGGTCAAGGGGGGCAGCGGGGAGCCCCAAACCTGGCACCATGGCTGCCTTTCCCCCCAGCCGCCTCCACAGCTAAAAAAATAGGGAAGAACCAACAAAGATTCCCAAACTTTAAAAATAGTCAGGTCTGCAGTGACCAGGATCTCTCTGAGTCCTAATCCAGGCTACAAGTGTTTATGGCTCCAGATATACATATATATGCACACATGGACCCATAAATATATACCTCTGTATGTGTCTATATATATTTATGTATATATATGCATATATATATACATGTATATGTATATTTGCGCATCTATGCATGTATATACACATATGTGTGTGTGTATATATATATATATTTGTGTGTGTATGCTGTACTAGTATAAGGAGAAAGTGAGAATAGTCTTGAAAAATCTGGCACGATTCCATGCATCCACCAAATTCATGCAATGGCATCCCAGCATTTCAGAGCCGCTTTTCAAATCACACCCTGCTCACAATTAAGCGTCTGCCTAAAAGGACTGAGTTTTAATTTACAATATTTTTATTGCGTCCAAAAGAACCCCAGAAATTCCCACGTTCTAAGGCAGTTTCAGGGTTCACCCCTCCCTCCCCACACCCCCAGGTTTTGGGAAAACAGTCTTTTTCCTCTCCCCCCCCGCCAGGAG